CTTGAAGTTCCTGGCGCCGACGCAACACCTCGCCGTCGCTGCCCGCGTTTCGTGCATCGATGGCTTCCTCCCGACCCGCAAAGATGGCAGGGTCCACCATGGGCGGCAAGGCGAAAAGCTGCTGCGCGACCTTAGATTTCCGAAGCAATGATCATGATCTTCGATGTCAAATAACCAGGAAAGGTTTGAAAGGTCTTCCCTAGTCCTTGATGGGAAAAGAAGCTTCTTGTTTCCCTGGCTTGGAGGGGAAATACACAACGCGCGCTCCGTTGCAGATCACGCGGAAGGCCTGAAAGAATAGGTTTGCGATCTGTTTGATTGACATGCCCAAGGGAAACAATTTAACAATCGCAAGTGGAAGGCGGCGCTCGAAGGCAGGAGAACTTGTTGTTGAACAATTATGCCCAGCTGTGAGGAAAAGCGCAAGAATTCAAAGATCAAAGGTCGGCCTGTTCAAGGCCCAAATCGGAGCACGTTTTGCACCGAGACAAATGGTGATGTCCACATGCCGGAGGGAGCAAATCAAACTTGGCCCACATCTGGGTACACGGGAAATAATTTGTTCGGAATATGTTGCATATTAGTCTATCCTAACATTTCATAAATTTCGAAGGAGACCCCAGCAAAGTGGATCATGTTGACTGGCGCCTCTGCTTGAGACTTGCTCTCAGATCATCCGACCCCATGCAGATCCAGAATTGACCGTGCCTTTGGCAAGTAATTAGCCGGCGCGAACCATGTTGCTTTCTTGTGCTAAAAACGAAGGCCATGCTGGACATGGCTAAACCTCCATCTCCTGCATCAGCCCAGCATCATGAGGAAATCCAATGCAACACACCAACAACATGCCAACTAAGATGAACACGAGGATAACTAGGATAGTATGCGCTTTCCTGTCTTTGGGCCTTTGGGTGTTTGCATAGTTGGCGGCCAGCCGAAGCCCCACAAAGGGGACACAAGTATCCCAAGGTTTTGCCACAAAAGCTGAAAGCTTCGGTGTCTCTGAGCTAGCAGCTTTCAGGGAGGCTTCGGTAACTGGGGATGGGACCTGGGCTTATTGAAACAATCAGGGGCTGAGCGCACCACGCTGACCGGAGACGAGCACGGTGTCCACACTGGGGGGCCTGAGCCGAGCCGGCGTGCCGGCGAGCCATCCCATGCGAATGGGATAAGCTTCCCATGAGGTTCTTCCGCTGCTTGCCGTGCTTCGCTGCCTTTAAAGCTTCCCCAAATGGACATGCCCCAAGGCGACACCCAAGGCAGCCCTGAACCAGCACAAACAAATTCCCGGAGAACGTGGTGATGTCCTGTTTGGCGACCTTCGGCCACATGCCCACAACTCAGCTCTGGAAAGTGCTCCGTTTCACCTGTTTTTGGCTAGGCTGAGGTTCCAATTGAGAGCCAACATGAATGTTTGACAATTCGACCCCGCTAGCCCAGTCAAAGTAGATTTTGGATCCTGAGAGTTGTCAAGCCGGCGCAGCTTGGGTTGTCAGTGTCTGATTGGCACAAGAAGACATACTGGGTGTTGGTTGGGGTGTTGACACATGATTCAAATGGCATGTTCGGCCGTTTACTTGGCTGCTGAATCCTATGTCCTGCTATCACTGTAGTTGGAATTGGACCCAGGGAAATAGCTTTACATCATGCCTTAAACGGAAACCGGCTCAGTCATGAACTGGCAAATTTGGTTCTGGCTTCCTTGACAACACTGCACCTTGACAGCTGCGCCAAACATGGAAAACATGTGCCAGCCAGCATTGTCAATCATCCGGCGGCAAACTCTTAGTTGGAGGAGGCAGCATGGCGCCATCCTTTGTGGAGGAAAACGTACCGCGGTGCTTAGCTGTTTGCAAAATGGACAGCCGCAAAGTACGTCGCTGAGAACCAAGCATGAAACAGCAATAATACATACGTAAGCGTAAGTGCACCTGATCGCTTCCCTTTTCCAGAGAGGAACATGCCGAAGTGCACTTCCAGAAAGCCCGCAGAACACTTACGACTTACGTTGATAGGGCCTCTGATCCCTTGGCCCAAAAAAAGAAGAGCCCCGGTGAGGCTTAGCTCCCGATTGGACAGTCCCAGTGGCTCCCAGCTCCCTCCAACCGCCGATCCCGGCCTGGCACCTCCAGGTCCTCCGGCTTGGGTGGTGGGTTGGGCGGCGGCGGCGGTATCCGAGGCGCCGCTGGGAACGGCCGGAGAGTCGCGCCCGAAGCCGGCGTCCGCTCGGGGGGTGAAACGGCCGGCGGGGGCGGGATGGCCTTGAAGGGTTCCATGTCAAAGTGGCTTTACAGTGAGGCACATTAACATTACCACCTGTAAAAGAGAGGTTGCAAACCCAAGCCCTTTGTGAGGTTTGGACGCTTGGATGTTTCATGTCGCTGAAACCGTTTCTGTGCTCAACCCAGCCTTCGTCTCCGGGAGGGGCGGGGAGGGCACTTCGGTCTTGGGCACGTCTGGCAGGGGAGGCGTTGGCACCCTGGTCTTGGGCACTTCGGGCGCTGTGCGCAGCGGGTCAGGGGCCACAAAGCTAGGCATCGCTTTCCTCAGAAAAGCTTCCGGCTGAATGCTGGAAAGCGTGAGAGTCACGATGAATGACACAACACTCAATTTGACGTCAACCAGCACGCAACTGAGCAACGCTGCCAAACAAGTGTAAATTGTCAAAACAGCTTGGGACGTGGCAAAACAGAAAATGCACGCTGAAGTGGGAGCAACTCAGTGCGGCCAGGCGTCAGGTCCGGTGCGAGCCCCAGCTCCGCCTTCAGTTGGAGCTCCACTTCCTGAAGGTTCAGCGGAGACTTCCATGGCTTCACCAGGCCGCCACTCGAAGCGTGCGACTCGCCACTGGACAGGCCCAAAGGGTCGAAGCCAGGACTGAAAGGCCCGGCAGGACACTCCTGTCCCCCAAGCCGCGAGGCCTGACACCTTTGACATGCTGTTAATGAAAATTGCGCCCCAAAACCACTGAAGAACGCACGGCGCACAATTGGGGATCCCGTTGGCTCGGCTGCAGAGGCACTCCGAGAGCGGTGGGAGAGAAGCATCTACAGAATCCGACCATGCCAATTTGTCCCTCACGTCCACATGTCTACGTGAGGGGCATCAGTGAAGCGATACAGAAACGCTTTTGAACCTGAGTTGCCCCATTTGCCCCACCCACCCCTCCTCACCCGGGGCAGGGCGTCTGCCAAACTGTGGCCATAGTATCCTTTGTTGCATTCCAGGAATCCCAGCCAGTTTGCAGAAGGCAAAAGCAGCAGGGCGGCACGAAACGCATAGCATCAAACACACATATACTGTATACCAAGTTGGCAAAGCCCTTGAAGAATTGAAAATACTTGAAAAGCCAAAAAGTGGCTCGGAGTGAGTGACTTGGCCGCGTCTCTCCTGCACCTTGCAGTCCAAGCTGATGCTCTCCTGCGGGCTCAGTGGAGTGTCTGTGATGCTGGTGAGGTTGTCGATCAAGCACCGCTCAAAGTCCTCGATTGTCAAGTGGTTCACAATTGGCCCTGGAGCTCTTCCCCAAATGGAGGGGGTGATGCCTCACAAATGAGGGGTGATACGGGTATACTCAACGTTTGGGGACCCTCGGCGCCACAATAACGCTGACACCAGGCCCGGCGTCTGAGACCTGTGAGGCAGCAAGTCCACCACGTGGGGTGAGGGTGTTGGAACGGGGGTCTAAAACAAACTTATCCAGCCCGTGATTGGGTTGTGTTGCTCCTTCCATCCCTTTCACCCCATGCCAAACGGCCATCGCGGCCTTGGTTCAATCAGTATCCAGTGGATACTTCCCCAACTTTTGAGGCTGACATTGCTCCACTGTTCCCAGAAGCCATCTGCCCATTTGCCACGGCGCCCTGGTCTGCTCTTCCAGCGACCCCTGTGTGGATGGAGGACCGCAGCACTTCCTGTGAGAAAACAAGAGGGCAAGGGCTAGGCAACCACGGAGAGGAAATCCAAAACCACCCCAACCGCGAAAGGTGGTCGGCTCCGGTTGCCTTTTTGCACGGACATAGGGACCCACCCACTCGAAAGGTTCTGAGCACCCCCTTCTAAGAGGCCTTTCCCAGGACTTGCCAGCCTACCCGCCCTTGTGCAGAACCCAGCGACCAAGCAACCAAACTTACATCCAAATAAGCAAGAAAGCAACCAAGCACGCACGCAAGCAAACAGACAGACACGCAAAACAGGCAACTAAGCAAATAACTAAGGGTGCGTTGTTTTCCTATTTTTCTATTTTTTTTATTTCGTCCGGGCCAGTAAAACGTTGTATTTGACAGCATTTTCTCGCGAAATTGACGCATTTTACACTAGCCCGTCAACATCCCCAGCATCGTTTTCAACATCCTCCGCATGTCCGACCAACATCCCTAGCATCACCAACAAATCGTGGGTAACAAAACCCAAAAAGTAGCTGGCGGGTTGACGGGGTCAAAAGAATAATGATTCAAACAGGAGGGCATTCCGGGGGGGTTGGGGGGGTGAGGCCCACTGCCCCAGGTGCCTATCCCCGAAGGGAACCGGTACCCTGTGGTAGTAGAGGTCGTTGTGTTGGTCCCTGGATCCATTCCGGAGAGAATCCAATATGCCACTGTGGATGATTGGAGGATGGATTGTCCCTGGTGGATTGTCTTGTGGATAATCCTGTAAGCGGCCTGCTAAGGTTCTTTTGCTTCACGCGATCATGAATGATGCAATGATATACAAAAGGGGGCCCTTGAGCCAAATGTTGCGGGAGATCAATTGGTCTGAGAACCAAACACAAAACAGACACAAATTTCTTTGATCTGCAGCACTAGATATGAAATACTATTGGCTTCATGGCCTTTGGCCGTAGCCTTGATGTTTGCCGTAGCCATGCTGTATGCCGTAGCCATGTGTATTAAAAATGCCGGATTCATCCTCTTTTCTGCTCGGATGAAATGTCTTGGCTTTCGAAATGGAAAACACTATGTACTGCTTCTTTTTGAGATACCTAGATGTATCAAAGGGTGATGTACAACGATATGTACACGCGGGACGATTGTGAAACGATTGATCTCTCACTCATGGTATAGTCTTGTAGACGGCGAAGATCAATCATCTGAATTGAGTTCGTGGTGCTGAACGTATGAATCTTCATGGTCAGTCGGATCGACGATACCATCGGCGGCTGCTGCCGGATTGACTGCCATAGTCTCCATAATCATTCCAGGTCGAGTTGCTATAGTCCTTCCACTGCTTCTGATGTCCCCGCTGCTTGTTGTAGTCCTTGTACTCCTGCGGGGTCCAGGCTTGTTTCTTCTTGATGTACTCCTGGTATCTCTCAGAGCTGCGTTGCCTGGTTGCAGATTTGCTGCGAATGTAAACCATGAGAGGACTGTGAGAGTCGGAGTCCTGCGAGCCATTCATGAACATGTCATTGTTCACGTGCTTAAAGCGCTCTGCGGATGAGACCTGGTAATCGAATATGGCCTTGGTTGGATGGTTCCGCATGAATTCCAGTTGTTCATCATCCATGCTGTTCATCTCGTCCTTCCGGAAAGTCTGCTGGATGTTCGTTTTGCCCCATCCAAAGATGAAAGTCATCATCACATCTGGGAATGTTCGATCATATCCTGATCCACATTTCATGTACAGGTGATGACGGACAATGGATTTTAGGGTGCACGAAGTCTCCATTGCATACTCCATTCTGTCTACGAGTGGCAAATCTTTTGTTTCATTCCATAGTCTCTGATATGCTCTCATGAGGATGTTCACGAGACCGTTGGCCGGATTGAAGACGTGCTGGAGTTTGCTGTAGGTGTTCGCTGATTTGTTGGCGTCTGCGGTGATCGCATCGCATCGGTACAAAGTCACGGCATGATTTCATTTTGAAGATCTTCCCTTGCTGCTCCATGGCTAATTGAAGGATGGATGTGGAAAACTCCAATGGTAGCGAATGGGAGATCTGCCCTCGTTATGTGGCGGTCGTGGAGTGACTTGTTGGATGATTTCGGGATCATGCCACGAAACTCATCACTCTGCTCGATATGGAGAACGACGATCTCCTTGTCTCGGCCATGTCCTTGGACAATGGTGCGTGTTGGCAATCTCGGTCCAATGTACTTCTTGGATTCAGTAAACATGGATGGTCCTGTGGTTGCCAGGCAATCCGAGGTCGGAATTTCGTATTCGGGATCAGTGCAACTTCCTTCAGTTCCGAAGAAACATCTGAACATTCCGAATGTGGTTCCCCAATTCTGGCTCTTGGTGGAAATGTGTCTTGCCATAAGTTCCACTCTTGCAGAAGGTCCGCCACGGACAAAGCATGCGATCGGTCTGGATGACCATTGCTTGATCATGATGCCCTTGTAACCGTATCGGATGAACGTCTTGATGAGCTCCCTGGATTTCTCATCATTAGGACTGAAGAATGCGTTCAATCCAAGCGGAAGCTTAATCGGATATCCGGATCCTGGTTGAGCTTGCTTGTACTCGTCAATGGTGGGACATTCTCCTCGATGAGGGAAGTAGAATTCTTCTTCTCCGAGATTGACATCGGGATCGACGTGTGCCAATGAGGCTCTCTCGCACTCTGTCAAGTTGGGATGAGCTCTTCTTGGATCTTTGTTGAACATGTTCATGCAGCGGGAGAGGTTTGCCTTGGTCTCCGCGAGCTCTTCCTCTGCGTCCTTTTTGTTCAAATCTGTTTCGAGATAGATTCCCTTGAGTTCTTGGATGAACTCATCTAGGTTCTCTGAATTGTGATATTCCACGATGACTTTTGGCTTGACGGATCTTTCCCCGGAGGGTTCCATCGTCTCTTCTTCAGCTTCGTCCTGATCGGTGGAATGCCGTCTCTTCTTGGTCTCTGAGGAAGTATCTTTTTCCTTGCTGTGCTTGGTGGAATTCACATAATTGAAGAAGGCATCGGCAAATTCGCGGATCTTGGTGTCGTGCATCTCGTAATCTTCATAACTGAGATGCTTCTTCATGATCCACTTGTTGCTCGCCATGAGGCTGCCATCAGGTTCAAATGCTGCAACAATGTTCCTTGCCTCGATGGTTTTGTCTGTCAACGCTGTTCGCTCTTCGGAGAGTCGGATGCCATAGTCTTGGTCCTTGAGGAATGCAAGGATCAACAGTGCATCTCTTCCTGCTGGCACATGGGTCAATGCGGCTTCTGACTCATCGTCGTCAAGGATGACGTCATCGATGCGAAGGGTTTGACTGGGATTTCCCAGATTTGAGCCCGTGCTCCATGATGCTGAAGAGCTGATTTCCATAGGTTGCATGGAACACGAATGTGATGGGCTTCTTCGCGAACGGCTTGATTTTTCTCTCTTCTTGGATGGTGGTGCCGGCCTTCGCATTCTGTGCTTGGGCTGAGCTGTGCCTTCATCTTCATGAGGCGCCTCGGATCTTGACGGATGCGGACTTGGCGGAATAGATTCCGTTGGTAGATCATAGTCCGGTTCGTCGTGTTGAGGCTCTTTCGATTCTGCTGCTCAGAGTACAGGTGTCGTCCAAAGGATTGGATCTCGACTTGTCGTGTGTGTCCGCTGTTGCATCTCACGTAGAACTCCATCTCTGGATCGACATAGAATTCCTTGCCATCGGGCCTGAGTGCATTTTGTGCGGATCTTGTGGTGAGCTTGTCGATCCATCGATTCCTTGGAACAATTTCTCCCCGTGCCTTGCGCTCCTTATATGGCCCGTCCACGGATGGAAATACGAATGCAATTTCGAAACGTGATTTTCCATAGCTCGGGAACATAGCCATCAAGAGAAGTCCTGGCTTATTTCCAATGAAGTTCCTGGCATGTGTGATGCAGGTCAATGCGTCATAGAGCTCGACGGATCCATCAGGACCCATGTCCACTTGTCGTCTGCATTCCTTATGGATTCCATGCCTTGGATGTCGAAGACATCCGGAAAATGATCTGCTCATTCTCTCAATTCGCCAGAGGATGAGATCTGTGATCTGTTTCGCCTTGGATGGATCCATGCGGAAGTATTTGCAAACCTGTTCGACATTCTGGACGGTCTTCTCGAGATCAATGTTGCCGTTGTGGCATACCATCGGGATGATGTCGGTTCCGTAAACTTCGGATTGAGCATTGGTGTAGCAGCAGATGCTGTAGACCTTCTTGATGAAGTCCATGTATTGCTTCTCCGTATGAGGTCCTTCACCTTGGAGTGTTGGCTGCCAGTAATCGTTGAATCTGGCCTTCAACCAGAATACCTTAACTCCATGTGGTCTCTCATGCTCAGGAACGAAGTGGAAATCCGGATTGACATCGAGGATGGTTGAGCATTCCCTGTAGTACTCGTACACAAAATTCAGGAATTTTGAGTTTCCGAAAGGTGGGTGTACGGATTCCTTCTGGAGGCTGATGTTTGTATCCGATCCATATGTTACAAACCACCGATCATTGGATGTGAGAACAGGCCGCATCACTGGTCGCCTTGGAAGTGCAGGTCGATCACCAGGATGATTGTCGGATTCCGTCTCTTCATCCAGGATGTTCTTTGGTGCTGGCTTGACCTTGGAGACAAGCCTCAATGCTGGTGGCGGTGACTTTGGAACAAGTTTCGGATGCGGCATCGCCTTTGACGTAGGCCTTCCTGCGGGAGGATGCCCTTCTTCATCTGAATCATCGTCGTCGGAATCTGGATCATAATCAACCTGCTCCATGTTGACATTCTCGGGTTGCTGAGAGGCGGATGGATTCTCATCGGCGACTTGCTCCATGGGGCAGTCTGATGTCTCATCTTCCTCATCACGAGCAGGGGATTCCTTCAACGGTGATGCCCGTCTCTTGATCATTGGCTTTGGCACAGGTGCCGCGGCGCTGGATCGTGCGAAGATCATATTGAGAATGGGCATGTCTTCGAAGTGATCGAGCATACAAGATTGCAAAGGTCGGATTGGTTGTAAACC